TTGCTTTCTTTGCCTCGCCTTTCGTCTATTTCTTCTAGCACCTTTGTGCTCGCGCTGCAGCCCTTATTACCATGACAGGGAAAGACTCAAGTCCCCCGCAAAAGAACTCTTAACACTGTTAACAAGCCTCAGCAAGTTTGTGGAGATTGTGCTTGACTATAGGAAACAAATTGTAAGGCCACTGGAGACCAGTGTGGAGCATGCTGTGTACGTCTTGATAGACCTCCTTGTGCTGAAGTGCAAGAATGATGACCGTGACAACAGAAAAGAATTTCTTCAGCTTCTTTGCAGGAAACTTATCAAGCCACTCCTAAGTAATCATGCGATGAAGATTACTGACAAGAACTCTGTAATCAAAATGTATGGTAGCAAACCATTGTCGCGAAAAATTCTCAAATTGTTGCGTGGATTGTTCTGTGTTTTTTGTCACTGTTAATTTCTGTTGAACTGAAAAAAAATATACGATATCATTTGGTTGACTATACATATTTTTTGTCTACCACAAAGTAGAGAAATAGAGAAGCGTTAGTTATAAGAAACTGCAGGTTTGTCTCCAGGTGCACATGTACGTTGGGTGCTAGTATAAGATTCCTAATAATAAACCACCAGTTCTTAAAACTGGCAGCTAAGTTGATCGCAATGTTAACTTTTGTGGGTCATCTTCACCACCTAAAATGAAATGCAGTGAAAATCGAATGAGGAAAAAAGGTAGGACTTGCCTGTCCCAACCTCTTTGGTACTACTGGAATGAAACATGCCTTAGCAATCTCCAAAAGCCTGATAACAAAAATGACACTATTTATAGCGCGAGGAGGGCAATGGCTTGGTTGTAGTTCCTCACGCTGGTTCCCAACACGGGCTACAACAAATTGCAGAATGACCGCAATCAAATACATGAAAGACATATACAGCTTCAGAAGGCAAAGACTCACGCAATCCCGAAATTGTAGTCGTAAAATTTGCGTGCGAGACACAAAACAACGTAGTTTCTGCTACTCAAGCACATTAACATTCTCTTGTGAAAACTGTACATTGTTCACGGATTTCCAATCTATAAATAGCACAGCTAGAGCATCAGCGCACCTTCGTCCAGAGCAGACGACAAGCCGGCGATAGTGTCAGCCAGTGGCGCCGCATTGCAGCAAGCATGCAAAGCGTAGCAGCCCGCGAGCTCCCATGGTTCGGCGTATGAACTGACTGGCATCTAAAAATAGAGAAGGCGCTGCGCAGGCGATGCGGCAGTGGAGCCGCCGAGCGGAGAAAAGGGTGAATGCGCCGACGAGCAAACCCTTTCTGCGGGCCAAACAAGCAGCGGGCCGCGATGCGGGCCAGAGGGGGAGCGAAAGGGAAGCAAACTCATGATACCAACGCGAGCGGATGCGATGGCTGCTGTCCTGAATGGGAACGATACCAGGTTCCCCTTTGGGAGAATGGGAATCGCTTTCAGCAGACAAGAATTACCGAAGGCCCAGCAAGATGATCCATTCTTTGCCAAATTGAGCGACGGTCTCAGGGAGACGGAGCGCCGAGACACTGCTGGTAGTGTAGTGGGCACAGGGGGACAAAAACCGGCATGTCCCTGAATCCCCCGCGAATACATACTTGCTGAAACATGATGAACCCCTGCTTAAATACATAGCAACCAATGAAGAGTCCGTGGACCCGTTTAAAGTGGTTGTGTCCAAGAGTCTGAGAGCCGCACTGTTGCAAGCTTCTCACGACGAGCCCATGGCCGGTCACCTGAGTGGCTCCAAAGTTTTTGCGAAACTGAGCAAGGTTGTGACTTGGCTTGGCACGAAGCGTGACATTTTTCGCTATTGCCGTTCCTGCCACATCTGTCAAGCGGGGAAATCAAGGGGTGGCAAGCCGCCTGGGCTTGATGAAACCAATTGTCAGTGAGCATCCGTGGCAAGTAGCCACCTGCGATCTAATGATGCCGTTTCCCAGGAGTAAGCAGGGGTTCATACATCTGATGATAGTTGATCATTTTTCCAAATGGGTAGAGTTGTTTCCCTTATGGAAAGTGACAGCGCGAGCAGTGCTAGAGAGGCTACAGGAAGTGTTTTTTCGGTTCGGTTTTCCGAAAAGATTGATCACCGCCAACGCGTCGTATTTCACGGCTCGGGTGTTTGGTGATACGTGCCGTTCCCTAGGAATAGATCACTGCACCACTTCGGCCTACCATCCCCAGTCAAATTTGAAGGAGCGAACCAATCGTACGCTCAAACCGATGTTGCAGGCCTTTGCCAAAAAAGGACCATTTGAGTGAAGTCGCGTTTGCAATCCGAACCTCAGAGAGTCGCTCTACTAGTTTCTCTCCCGCTTTCTTTAACTTCGGAAGGCAGTTGGCAAATCCAGTGAACAGGGTCATGCAATGCCAGCTCGGGGACGAAAAAGAACCGGCAGACTGTTCTGCTTAGGCTTCAACACTTCGACACAGGTTTTGTCGAGCTCTCGGTAGAGCGAGGCAGAGTTTAGCAATAGCCAGGGCTGAGCAAAAGGCCCACTACGACCGAAAATATCGCCACCTTTCATTTAAGGTAGCTGACCTTGTCCTGAAGCGCAACCACGCTCTTAGCAACGCGAGCAAGGGTTTCTCACCTTTGCTCGCTCTTAAGTGGCTTGGTCCGTACCGAGTGGAGAAAGCTTGGACACCGCTCGCGTACTTGCTGAAAGGCGTGCTTTCGGAAAAACTCAGCCCTGCCCACATCACAGACATGAAAGCCTTTGCGTCGAGGTCTCACGAGCCTGCGCCAGCGCCTAGAGGCTCTTAGCGCAAGCAACGGCGCACATCCGGCACGGTGGACCGCATTCGGACCACGCACCGGCATAATCTGAGGAAGCACTCACCTTAGTGATTTCGCGCCGAACTGCGAGCTTATTTTCGCAACCAAAGGCCCCCATTTTTTACTGTCTAGTCTCAGTTAGCTAACTTCTTTACAGCCAGTGCTAGCAAGGAAGTTAGCTCCGCCCAGTTACTGCTGCTGATTTTCATTTGAGTGTTCATGTTTACGTAATGTTTTTTCGTGTGTTTTTTTTTTCATCCTCGCTGGAGGAGGGGATCGTGAATTGGTGCTTTAGCGTGGAGGGAGATACAAAGAACGCTCTGCGCCTTCTTTTGCGAGGCGCGTTTGGAGGGACCCGATCATCGAAGCTGTGTGTGCGTGTGTACATGCGTGGTGCTTCTGTGCGTGGTGGCGACAACTTAGAAAGTCACCGACCCCTACACTACCTTGGACTCTAGAAGTGTGCGGAGATCCACGGTCGTTAGGCAGCCAGGCTGTGCCCTGCTCCCGGCCGTCAATGAGAAGCTCTGCTAGCCTTTCCATCACAGCTCCTCCACCAGATTAGCTGTCGCAGACGCTGTGCACAACTCGACTAACACCAGCAGCCAGTTGATTTGGCGACAATGATTCCAGCAGAAGGGCCGGCTGTCGCAGCGAGGTCCGTGGACCTGTCAACATCAACGAGACGAAAGTGAGCCCGTTTCTCACATGAGGGCCTCAACCAGTCCTCCCGCCTTGCACTCTCGCATCCACCCGGTCACCCAAACCAAACATTACGTTTCGCTTTCCCTCCGCGGCTTGGACGCGCTCTTGCGCGAGCGTCATGAACTCCCGTTACCCTTTTTCCGCGACGCCATCATATTTCTCAAGTGTATTGTTTGTTGTTGTTTCATTTTTTTTTTCAGCCAAAATTGCAGGGCTAGGCTGAATTGATTGATTGATATGTGGGGTTTAACATCCCAAAACCACCATACGATTATGAGAGACGTCGTAGTGGAGGGCTCCAGAAATTTCAACCACTTGGGGTTCTTTAACATTCACCCAAATCTAGCTGTTGCCATGCATGACGTCTTTGCATGCATGGGTGACGACTGGCTGCTTTTGCAGACTGGTATATAGGGTGAATTAAGGAGAGGAGGATGTGGGAACCTGAGGCGCACCCGTGACCATATCGCAGGCATTCCGCCGTACGGCCGCTTCTTTTCCTTTCCCGTGCTGTGGTAGCGACGCGTAACGATGGATGGGGCCACGCGCGTGCGCAGCACGTGTTCTTAGGGGCTGCGAGAATCGGATGCGCGCCGGAAATGCTCTTCTCCGTTGGTCGGCACCTGGTAAGCATGTGTTTCCTTTGTTCGCGTCCCGTTCGGGAACCGCCGGACTGTAGCCTGCCTGGGTGCTTTGGCATCCCCAGCAGGCGTGTTTACCTGAGTGTTAGCTTCGGTATCGTACGCTAAACCAACAGAAGAGACTAGTGCTTGAAGTGGTCGCACCACACCAAGCCACACTTTCTGCAGGCCTATGCGTACGAGGTTTGCCCTAACTCTCGCGACCAGGCCCAGTTGCCATCGTGAGAGTGCGCAGCATAGCCGCGAGGGACCTTTTCCCGACCGGCGTGTCAAAGCACGCCATTGCCATCTGCGACGTGCTCGCGGTTCCCCCTTAACGTGGACGTCCGCGGGCAAGAGCCATTGCTCTCCGCGTACCGGGAACGGACGTTGTACAGTTGTTCGGGGTGCCACCAAAGGCAACAAAGTGTTTGCGTATTTCTGTTAATCAAACACTGTCTGTGTTGCCGCGCCACGCTAAATGCTTTGTTAGTTGAGTGTGCGTGGAGCGGTGCGCTACACGTGAGTAGGTGATGGAGACGCAGCCCTGTGGCTAGCTAAGCCTGAACCCACGGTGATCATCTGCTACGGTGAGTAGCGAGGTTACCACAGCCTATCATACCCCATTCAATCACATACGATGAGGTCCTCATCTCTTCTAGAATTTCTTTGCTATCCTTAATGCTCCCACCTCAAATACTAGCAGAATATGATAAGTGTAAACTTTTAAAAAGTGTTGCAGCAAATCCTTATGTTTTAGTGGCCTTTCTTTTCATCAGTAGCCTTTCCTGTTAGCAAATGACTTAGGTACACATAATTTTGTACAGGCCCCTAAGATAATCCTGAGCTCTTTCTATTCTGAAAATTATTTTGGAAAGAAAGTACTCACATGAAACTTGCCCACGGAGGTGTCAACAAAGCAGATGCCAAAGTCCGTGTTAGCCGATTCCTGCAACAATGCCAAAAAAGCTTAGCTTCAATTGCCAATCAAGATTCCCATTTGCTCGCACAGCCTTCACGCTTTCCACCACAAGAAGCAGCTGGTTCAATGAGAGAGAATTGTGTAACCATTGCAACGGCTGCGACTCAATGCTCAACAGCATGGTTACTAAAAAATAAGCAGCTGGTTGTCTCGGCAACAACTGGGTAGACACTGCATTGACTTTCATCATCTGCTAATTAATCCTCAAGCTGTCCATCGAAGTAACAGTTCGTTTAATCAGGGCAAACTGTATTATTCTTGCCACTTGTGCAACGATATTGGCTCATTCCACAGCACCACAAGAACCAGTGAAAGAGACCTGCTCAGATTGTGTTGCAGGGCCCTTTTAAAGCACCACATAGAAATTGATTCACTGGTGATTATGAGCAAGGTGTCATCTCTTTTAACTACTACTTGCACCGCATTGTTGTCTATTGCGAACATAATGTAGTGCAGCGCAAAGAACAGGCAACAAACAAGGGAGAGAATGATTACACAGCGTATTCTTCCAACTAATGTTTATTAGATTGAGACGCACATATACAGAGGCACGTATACACAGGATTGGGATACACAGGCAAAGCAAGAAAAGACAGAAACCAGGACGAAAAAATCAAAAAGTGAAATCTAAAGAAGTGCCGATAAGTCACACGAGCACTAACACCACCCCCTTTTCCATGACTCTCCAAAAACAAAAGCTCTTTGTCAGAAAGGTGCAAGGAAGGCATGCTTACACATGTGTCCCCAGACCGTTTGATTTTCTCAGCCTCCATAATTTCCCTCCCCCTTTGGTCTCGATTGCGTGCAAGAACTGCGTTTTTTTTTTAAGATAGGGCTACACTTTTCTTGCTTCGCCTGTGTATACATACATGCGTCCCGATCTAATGAACTTTAGTTGGAAGAATATGCTGTGCCTTTGTTCTCTCGCTTGTTTGTTCTGTCTTTTTTGCACTGCACTGCATTGTGATTGACTTGTTCCAACTCACCCAACAAGCAAAGTTGGGAACACCTTGCCCAGCTACAGACATGACACTAAGTTTTGTAAACGGTCCCGTCAGCACTCAATTTTCATGGCCTGGCATAAGCTGTAACACTAATTCTCTGGAGATACAGCGCTTCTTGCTGTATAGATGCCGTATTTATTGAAATCTAAGCCTATATATTTGTTTTTTTTTAATTTCTTTGTATCAAACTTCAAGGCCAGCTTAGATTCGAGGATTTCGAAAAACGTACCATTTTTCATTCAGAAGAATTGGTGCACAACTAGCCCCGCCTAGACTGTAATTGTAGCTCTTAGTAGCCAAGCCACCACGTGGCTTACGTGCACATGTGTGGCCACCATTTTAATTTTTGTGGCAAGTGTTGAGGCGGGCGAGCCGTTTGTCATTTCAAGTCACACTTCAAGTGGTCCGTGTGTGGCATAGCTCAATGGCTCCAAACAGGCAGTGTCATTACAGTGAGTTTATAAAAGAAAAGTTGTCCTAGCCGCGAAGTCATCATCCAATGCTCAAGCGGGGCGGCACTTTGGAGTAGACGAAAAAAATGTACGTCGCTGCAGAGGCTGCAGCATGGGATGACAACCCTGAAACTTTCATTGTGTGCTCTTTTAAGAAGTGCGGCACATCCAATGCGCTTGATGGCACGGAGGATTGCGCACTGTTTTGAAGACAACGACAAGGGAAACAGCAACGACTCAGAATAAGCACGGTATTGGTATGCGCGGCATCTTTATACTGCCAATAACTAGAACCAGTGTGAAAAAAACGAGCAATATACACACACTACAGGACTAGCATGTTTCTCGAGTTATTTGCAGACTAGCATGTTTCTCCAGTTATTTGCATGGTAAACCAACTGCAGTGTTTCATCGTCATTTTCAATAAATGTTTCATTTGGCCTACATATGAGGTACGTTTTTTTTTTTTTTTTTCCAGGCTTCCTACTTTTGGTGGCCTCTTTAGAATCGGGGTCGGCCTAGATTGGAGTAAATAGAGTAGCTCATGGTACGCGACATTAAGCGCTGTGTGTGTTTGATGCCTGGGTGTGCATGTTATGTTTGTGCTAAAATTAAGTTTTTAGAAACGTTCTACCAACTAGCCGAAGAAAAAGTTCTTTTACGAAATCATGTGAGCTTAACTAAACGATGCACAAATTGAAAATCTCTGGCTTCATGTATTTAAAAAGAAGGCCATTTATTTTAATACAATGTGTTTTAGTAGCATGAAAACTACAAGAAAATACCATATTTTAGAGAATTATGACACATCTAGAAGATAATCAACTGTCTCACAAATATCGTTTTAATTTAGGTCTGGTCCATCTACTTCAACTCAGCTGAGATTGCCTAGGATTTCGTATACTCTGAATTTTAAAAGTAAGATTGATCCTCACAGAGGCTCGCGAAACCCAGGCCAATTAGTAACAAGGTAGTGTGGCAGCAATTCATCAGCAGACTGTCAGCTATAGGAACGCTGCTGATCACTCGTTTCAAGTGTCTCACGACATGTAATTACAGAGGAATAAAATATAGGAACGCTGACACTAGATGCAAGGAACGACATTGAATATTCCGTGCATAGAGGTGCACGTGAATGATAAAAACGCACTGGCACTTTTTCACAAATATTCTTTATCGATAGAACAAAAAAGCTGCATCCAGCTTTGTAATTGCTTTTGTGGTAAATGCCCCCTAAAAGGTTCAGCTTTTACGATGTGTAAAAGGTCCTTTTCGAGCTTGTGAGCGTTAGGGTTCCAATTCAACTTGTTTTTTTCTTTTAAAGATTTTCATCTCATTATTAAAAAAAAATAGGGCAGTTTTTCTTAAATCATCCAATGCTGGGGTCTCAGCAGGACTGGTGGGTAGATGGGCCTGACTTGGCTAAGAGTTCACCCTGTTATCTGCCTCTTTCTTATCTTTTGCGGTACTATGCGATATATACACGGTTATGTTTGCTCGCATTTTCACTTTTCTGCATTTTTTTATCTCCTTCTATCCATTTTAGTCTCTGCCTTTCTGTCTGCTTTTTGTCTTTTTATGTGTAGAACATTTTATGTAGCCTGGCGTAACACAGGCAGCAACGTGTTGACATGACGGTAGTTCTGCCAACATTACGCCACGCTACACGAGATGCAGCGACAACACCGTGTATGGCAGAGCCACTTCATGTGTAAGAAACTTGAGGCTGAGAAAGAGGAAGGGAGAAAACATGCTGTCATCTTATGTTGCCGCTTCACAAGGGGGCGGAAAAGGAAAATGAAGGTGAGGTGCAAGGGAATGTTTTATGGGCGAGTTGGTGTTGCTCCTTTCCATCCTCACCACGACCACAAGAAAAGATAAGGAGGCGCTGTGTTGAATGCATGCTTTTGTGATTTCTTCGAAGCTTAAAATCAATTAAGGAGGTGAAGAGTGGAGGCGAGGATGTAAAGAAAAAAGAAAGAAAAAAGCATAGCATAGCCGTGTATTGCGCTAGGCAGGCAAGACAATGTAAAGCATAGCTATGTATAGCAAGGGGGTGGGAAAAGGAGAAGGTAGCCATGGAGAGTGAGGATCAGCAGTGTGGAAAGGTAGAGGGTAAGGCGTAGCATTGTGATGTATCATTATGGCATTCGGCAGTCACGACCATGAGTAGCAGAGCCACCCGTAAAGAACCAGTGAATAAGTTTCCACGGCGTGAGCCTCGGCGGTTAAAATGCACATATACCAGCTGCTCCTGCAGACAAGAGGAGTGAGTGTAGAGGCGATGTGGGTGCCAATCGCCGAGACAAAACAAAAAGGACGTTTGGAGTACTGTTCCATATGCAAGTACCACAATACTTGAGGGAGTTCCCATCCTCCTAAGTTTTTCTTTCTGAACCATTTGAATAAAACAGGGTCTGACGATAGGAGCAGAGCCTACTTGTCTCCTTTGCCTCTTTTTTTTTTTGCACTCAATTTTTATTTTTAGACAATGCACCAACTCGCCCAGCAACGCATTCTATTCACAACTCCAGAAAACACTTCGTGTGCTGGCAACACTGGTCTAAAAACAAAGATGGCTGCACCTAACAGGGTCAATGAGGCACTTACACTTGGCGCTGTGCAGAAGTTTTTGGATTGTGGTGTCAAATCCCGTTGCTTTCTAAGGTAGCTCGCCGCAGACCGCCTAATTCTCACTGGCATTAGGGATTTTACTCGCCAAACAGCGCCATATGTGGAAACATCAAGCCTATTTGGCGAACCGCATCAGGTTTATTTCAAGTGGAAGAAGCTGTCTAACGAGCCGGAGGTTGAAGAAGGCAATTTCTCATGTGTAGTGAGCCTCTCCAAATGGTGCTAACCACTTTTGAGTTTCATTGCTGCACTGCTACAAGCGAGGCCTTAACAATTTTCGAGGCAACTATATGCTGCGACTTGTGCTGCCGATTGCATGTATCTCATTGAGTTCTGCTGTCCCCGCAAAGGTGATACGCATACTATTCACTCGATTACAGAACAGAGCTATACCTGGGTCTGTGTGTCTCGAGTTATTTCAAATCATAGTATCATTTGCAAAAGGAGTACTCCTTTCTTTTTGTTCCCAGTCATGTTATGAACTCTTTAATGAACAAAGTCATGTGTTTTCAAACACTCGCTTGTTCGTGTTGGCAGTAGTTGATATTGTTGGCAGTAGTTGATACAGCACTTCGTACTTCAATCTTTCTGTTAATCTGGAAAGCAAGTCAGTGATACAAGCACGTGAGAATTTGAACCTTCCCTGTCACAATGAAAAGAAAAGCTCTCAAGCCCCGCTGATGCGAACCCCAACTTCAGAAAACTTGTCGGAGCATGAGTCTGCGGCGCTCAACTCTCCTTAAAGCAAGTATGACGAGATCTTTTCGAAATATCAGACAGATATTGGATGCATCACTAATGAGCAACATATGATCGTACTTACCAATGATTCTCTATTCATTGAGCACCATACCGATCTTCACAGGTAGACAAAATG